CAGGGACCATGTTTCATTCTGTAGAAACTAGAATTCTGCACAAAAAATAGTGCATACATCTTATGCAATATACAAACTCATGCGCACCTGTTCACTACGCATCATGTTTACATAGGATAGAAAAAGCATTTCGCTTTTTTCGGTCAGTTTGAAGAGTACTGTGCTGTTCGAATACCTGCTGTCAGGTAGCATATGGGTATATTGGGGCGCATTGGAAACAGCTCACCCATAGCGCGAAGAAAACTGGTCCGTAAAGTTTAAGTGAACCGGAAGAAAAGCAGTCGTTTCGTATTACCAAATGATGAAAAAAGCATCAAAATGGATAGAAACGGGAAACCACCTATGAATAAGACATAACTAATCATATTTGTGAGCTGAACATAGGATAAAGTGGGGTTGGAAGTGGCAGTGGCATAGAGCGATTCAAAATTCATCTCATACAGGATCTCATATTGTTTCTCCATCGACTAATAAAACTAAGCGTAGGTAACAGTATTAACTCGTCAAACGCAATCTATTCCGGCCGCGCCCCAAATCGTGAAGAAAGTGGGGGAGACATCACTTACAGATCACTGCTGACGACTTTTCGTTGATTAGCGACCGCTCTGTAGCAAGGTAATCATTTACTGTCTTCGACAGTGCTGACTTCAGAATAACTCTGCTTGCGCTGCCAATCCCTTGCATGACACTCGCGATGTAGACGACAGTGGTGTAGAACTGTTTATTACCAACCACAGGGGGGTTTATATAGTGCTGTTATTGTTGATTACTTCATCTTCTCCTTATCCTTCATTCCATCACTGCTTCTTGATCGCAGCAGTCCATTACCTGAATCGATCGCTTCACCCCCTACATCTCCCCCCAAGTGACGAAGTCACTTGTTACCTCATCCGTCACCATAACTGTGCACCCCCGCCGGAGAACTCTTTTGCTACTCTGCAGTTTCAAGGCTTCACAAACACTTTTATTCTCCACTTTTTTTTACAATCAAAATTCAACACATTTCATTAATTATTCCCTTGGCGCTCTTCCTCCACTCTCCTAGGGCGAGGCTGCGTCGCCTCGTCGAGCCTGGCCATGAGCTGGGCACACATCAGACGTACCTCGCTGAGCTCCCTTCTCAACGCGGCTCGGCGTTCCCTGCGCGGGCGGCGTACTCCCCTTCCACGGTACGCACCGATCTCTGCAGC